TCACTTTTGCGTTCGTAGACTTTCTTCTGGTGCCGAAAACACCCGAACGGCCGAATACCTGGTCGTTGTGAGACATGGTTGCTATATAAGTGAAGGGAGATACGGTCTCTAACTCAGTGACTCCATAAAACCACAATGGCTCTTGGGATCGGTTTGCAAACCGTTCATTTGAGTCACCGAGTGTCTGAAAACCATAAGTTCGATTCGTTCATCGAACAGGTTCTCGGACACTCGGTCAGCGACTCAAACAAACGGTTTGCGAACCGATCCCAAGAGCCATTGCGGGGTTTACTGCGGAAATGCTGCTACACTGATGAATATGGTAAAATAAACGCATCTAACGCTTCGCTACCTGTCTGGAGCATGTGAAGACCTTGGAAAGCAAAGGTCTCAGCTATCCTGAACTGGAAGACCTCGATTGGCTGGGTAAGTTTTACTTCATGGTGGATATGACAAGTCACTTGAACACGCTGAATAAAAATCTCCAAGGAAAGGGAAGCACGGCCCTGCAGATGCTGGAGGGTGTTTTGGCATTTGAGCCCAAGCTGACAGTGTTCGCAAGAGATGCACAAAAAGGTACGCTCTCTCACTTCCCCTCCCTAAGAGAGTTCAAAGAAGCGAACAATCGAATAAATAATGATTATTTCCACCGTGCCATCATTGCAATGCAAGCTGCATTTGGAGAAAGATTCAGTGATTTCAGAAAGGAGAAACCTACTCCCTCTTTCCCTGTCACACCGCTGGACATCGACCCATCCCTGCTGAACACAGTTGCATTCACCGGAGTAGGTATGCCTGATCTAGAAATTGAACTGGCCGATATAGCGGATAAAGATTTGTGGGTAAATAAGTTCAAATCACTGACGGAGGATCTTGAGGAAGTCGCCCGTCAGAAGGCTACACTCGCTAAAGGGCACAAATGGAGTGATATGGAAAAACTCCCTCTCCCCGACAAACTTGTTTTTGAAACATGGAGTGTCATTCCTGTCACGTATATTTACATGAAAAAGTATGCATTTGGAGTCTTGTCCATCTTTGGCTCAACATACTTATGCGAGCAAGTTTTCTCAAGCATGAACTTCATGAAGTCCAAACACCGCTCCCGCCTCACAGATGAGAGCCTACGGTCCTGTATGAAGATCAAAGTCACATCTTACAGCCCCGACATAGGGAAGATCTGCAGCGAACTTCAGACACAGAAGTCACATTAAACAGGTAAGAACAATAGCATTTAATAAGCTATTATTTTTCCGAGAAAAAAAAAAAACATTTATTTCAGACTCCGAGCTGATGTAGATTTTTTGTATGTTCAGGTGCTTCAATTGATTGCTGGCTGAACAAAAAACCAGAAGAGGACGACAGAACACTGACATGGACTTGTCTAAGACGCTCCTAATTTTATGTTTCTTTTTAAAGCTGCTAAGCTCCAGCTAAATGTTTATTTATATTAAAGTGGGCTAGTTTTTATTTTACTTTTACACAAATATAGGAAGGACTCAAATAGGCCTACGGTTCACTGTTTAATTTATTTCAAAGTAGGCCTACAAATCCACACTGCACTTCTCTTGTTGTATTCAGTGGTTGTAACAGGTAAAATTAAAAAAAGATGAAAACTTTTAAAAGTTTACAAGCTCTGTTATTTTTTGCGGCTCCCGACTATTTTTTTTGGCAGAAGAGAGGGCAAAATGGCTCTTTTGATAATAAAGGTTACAGACCCCTGGACTAGGACAACACAGGAGATACAGAGAAGTTAGGTGAAATACGACACAATATCAGACTTTAGTGATCAAAAACAAGTGCAATAATAGTAATCCTTTTTCTTATCCATCCAAGGCATTTATATTTTCTACTTGCCTCCTATAGCTGGCTGTTTTTATATATGCATATACATACAAGTATTTATTTGTACAATTGTTTGTAATTTTTTTATTTTTTCTTCATCTTTTCTTTTATTGCACTGAGCAGGTGCAGCACTCCTGAATCCTGTGAAGCAGGAGAATACACTAGGACCTGTCACATCCACGCCCACCCGGTCCTGCCCACGGAAGATGGGACTCCCTATATAGCCCCGCACCGACAACAAGTCGACAACGCTCTAACACTCTGTCTTCCCCGCAGTTACGTTCTGTCCATCTGGCCCTCTCCGAGCTACCCGCGCCTCCTGCCTGCCCTCCTTCCCGTCCGCCCTCCCCGTGGATTTCTCCCCTTTGTGTGTCTGCGTCCTCGGACTGACTCCCCGGCTATTCGACCCTTGGACTCCCTCTCGACCACGGCATCTGGACACGTTTCTGCATCAGGCGATACCCACGGACGGACTCCCGGAAAGACTCCGCTACGGCCTCTGACCTCTCTCTGTCTTATCCCTAATAAACTTGGTAGCTCGGACTCCCCTGTCCCGGTCTTGTGTTCCAGTACAGGACCTATGAAGCATGCAGGACTAGGGCAACACAAAATGTAATGTCCAGCGACACCAGCTGGGAAAACAGGAAAACAGGCACGGCAGGAACAGATCCTGACAAGATCCGTTTTGACTGCCAGCATAGGGATATGTAGTTTTAATCACTTACAGCACTTTTCCATTGCACCAGGTACAGTACTTTTGGTACAAAAAATTTAGTACGTTCTCTTTTCCATTGACTTCTGTCTAGAGCCAGTTCCAAAATTATTACTTTAGTACTTTGGGGAGCGACATGCAAACATATTCATTGTCAACTGGTTATGCAGATAGGCTACCTCTGAAACCACCGTCTTGAAAAAGTTATGAACTTAGAAAGCAATGATAAATAAAAATTTTAAAAGTAATAATAATGTGAGGACAAATAGAGACCCAAGCTTGAATTTTGATCTGAATGGAAGACAGAGTAAAAATGTGGTGAAACTAACCCCCCCACACTCACTATACTGTCCAGAGAGTATGAAAGTCTGAATTCAACTTGACTGTTTATCGCAGTAAGACAGTTATTTGTGCCCCCTCATGTAAAGTGTTAACCTTTTGAAAACTAAAAAACTTAAAACCATTCATTTATTTTCTATAACTATTGTAATGTCCTAGTGTGCAGTAGTCTTTTAACTTTTAGGTTAGATAGATAGATAGATAGATAGATAGATAGATAGATAGATAGATAGATAGATAGAATCATTTTTAAATCCATACTTGGCTTGCATCATAGTTTTATTTTTATTTTGTTATACTGTATTTGGCTATGTTTATTTTCAGATTTATATTGTATACATTTTTGTTATTGCAAAATCTTAGGCCTAAATTATATTTATTTATATACAAAGACAGTCTCACCTGCAAACAGAGACAGAAAGAAGGCTGTGAATGTTATCCTTTCCATCATGTTGGCATAATGTGTGTTGAAGACTCAAACTTTGTTCCTCTAAAACACTTCCTTGTTAGCTGGTTAATATATGATATAATCATTTGGAGGGTGAAGGCAGACTAATGTACTTCCCCCCCCCCCCCACGTTGATTTACACCAGGCATAAAAGGAAAGCTCTGTGCTCCCAGGAAGTTATAGTTTTTCTCCATTGCTTAAGCACAATCCTTGAACAAGTTATTTTTTTGTGAACACTATGTTCAGTCATCCACATGAATATTACATTTATTCACAGCATATTAAGTAATCCCATGGTGTTCACACAAAATTCAACTGTTTAAGCAATTTATGCAATTGTATACTGTAAATACAGTTGTCTCTGATTGGCCCAGTATATTTCACTGAGTAAGCTTTATTCATCTAAATGGATTGCAATGTTTTTCTGATACATTTTGCTACTTAAAAAACATTCATAGATCAGCAGTTTCTGAAATACTCACACCAGCCCATCTGGCACCAAACACTATGCCACAATCAAAGTGGCATAAATCACCTTTTTTTCCTGTGTTTGATGTGAACATTAACTGAAGCTCCTGACCTCTATTGGCATTATTTTACCTATTGATTGGCTGATTAGATATTTGCTTCAAGGAACAGATGAATAGGTATACATAATTAAATGGCCAGTGAGTGTACGACTTACATTGCAGGTAACACGAGATGTTATATTTTTGTGAATGACAATGTAGCTATAGCCCCAAGTATCTTAGCCCCGATGCCAACTTTCCTTCAAAAAAAAAAAAAAATCAAGCCCCAGGTAACCTAGAAACTCCCCTGCTGTAGCCTTAAGTAATAAGTTCTATGGGTGTGTTTTAATTTTTATCACATTTTACGAGAAGCTATAAGGAAGAACTGAATTCTTAGCCAGCTTTCCTGCATGGAGCATACGCTTCCGATATTTCGTAAAAGTTTTAACAGTTAACGCTCCAGTTATTCATTATTTGACACACTGTGTCCTTTGCAAAGTGAGTAAAACTTCCCTATACGACAAATACGTGAAGCTTGATTACTATGGGAATTAATTCACTTGTACTACTTTTAATTTTACCTGCTGGTAAGTTCATTTTTTCAGTCGCCCCTTTTCGTATTTAATTCATATCTAATTGATTAAATGCTTAACAATATACACTACTTAGAATTGTAAAGGCTGTACCATGTAGAACGTTGAGCAAAACTGTGCAAACCTACTGAGACCTATAGACCATATTTTTCTGCTTTTGTTATGATTTTGATAGGACATTATTGAATATTATATTATGCTATAGTAGTACTCAATAGTATAGTTAGTTAAATATTTAACACTGGTAACTAAAGAAATTGCACAACAATTAAAGAATATACAGGGGTTATCTATAGGCCTGATAGATGAGTCATTCTCCATTTGGAGTGGGAATTGAGATGTATAAAGTTTTGAAAATTATTTTTGTTAATCCCAAAAGTAAACCATCTTAATATGTGTATTATGAAGTTTATCCTATGTCAAAAATTAAGAATTTACTTGCAAGTATGTTTTGCTATATTTTAATCTAAAATTCAAAATTTTGGTCAGTTTGTCATGGGTGTTATAAGATTGCCAGGCATTCATTTTCTCAGATTTATATATTTTGAATTTACATTTCAATATGTCTGTATTAAATGAATTCCTTTAAAACAATGATTTTACCAATGTTCTTTTATAGCCACATATTTCAAACAATACAAAACTCAGGGCTCAATTATACATTTTAAGTCCATCTTCATATCCCACTTTGCAAGAAATTAATATTTTCCTGTAAAACAAACTTTCAATTCAATTGCTGAGATAAAAAAAAAACTAACAATACAAAACTTATTATTCTCACTGTTCAAGTAAGATACTCATAAAGACAATATTTCATGAAAAAGAAACCTAGTTCAGAACAGAACAGAAACATCAATGACATTATATAACACCAGTGATCAAACAAGTTATATTATTTTACAAAATGAAAAAATTAACAAAGAAATATTTAAAAAGATCTAATTAAAAACTATTGGCTTTTTGTGTTCTGATCATTCAAGACCTTAAAATTAGTCACTTGTTTCTTCACCGAAGGAAGCAGAGCAAAAACTACTGTGTAAAAATGTGTTATACTGTACAATGTGTGCAAAATTATTAGGTGAGCATGTACATTGCTTGTATCTGCTGTTCCAACTTAACAGTTTCAGTCCAGATTAATCACTAATTATGAATGTTTAAAAATAGAGCATACTTAGTTTTTTTTATCTGGGTAGTTCCTGTTTGGAGTGCAACAGGACACCATAGACACTTCCCTGTGCAGAATTATTAAGCAAATTATTATTATTATTAATATTATTAAAATAGACCGAAAAGGAGCTTTAAAAAAAGAATTATTAATGCGCATGTCATAGGAATGAAAAACAAACTGTCAAACTTTCAAAACATGACAACCATAAAAGTGAGTGTTTCGTGGCCAACAGCCAAAGAAGATTGAAGAAGTATGTACAGAGTAGGGGTGGAGCCGAACCCGAATACGGTATTCGGAAAGGCACAAATAATGTGTTTTTTACGAATACTTATTTCAAACAAATACTTTAAAAATATTTGTATTCGGGAACAAGAAAAACTTTATATCAAAAAGCTGCGTTTCCTCATGAGACCGCAGTGCATGCCCGGGTGAGTGAGTGAGTGAGTGACGTTCAGGAGTCGGGGGGGGGGGAGTAAATGAGGCGACTGACACAGGCTGCTCCACACAGCAACATAGAAGGCTTGGCTGAGCGAAAAAAGACTTAACTGCATCACTGTTTTTGTTGAATAGATTTTTGTACCTTAACTTAGTTCCGGAGGCAGTTTATAACTTTCAGGAAGCGGAGTTTCATCGGGAGATTATTCCATTACGCTGCATTATTGACGTCTGCAGTCGGGTGCTCTCATGTTCGCTCTACCTGTTTACGTAGCTCCGCTTACGTAGCTCCGCTTCGCGTCGGGTCC